ACCAGGTTTCCAACTGCTGGTGCTTTGATGTTCATCTTTCCCATACTGACAAATAAATTTCTCTTGGTTATAAGCCACATAGTCTATAGTATTTTGTGATAGCAGCCTGAATGGACTAAGAGATCAGTTTTCTGGAGATTTGCAGTCATGTCATCGTGGAAGATTATTTTCTATTCTCTTCAAGGATGTTAATTTAGTCTTCCCAGGAACAGTTGGAATTTTTCCTTTAGTTTGTATTCTTAACAGTAGTTTTAGTACTCCTAAATATTGGTTTTGCTATTTTATCTTTTAATTTTCTTGTCCTTTTAACTGTCTATGTAAATGGAAGTATTTATGAGTGATATTTTAAAAATATTTTTCCTCTTTTCTTTTAGATCCTTTGATGTTATTTTTAGCATTAATATCTTACTAATTAACTATATTTTAAAAATTTGTTTCAACTCAATTATTTTTTTACTTCATTTTACTTTATTTATTAATAAATTGTCTAATATTAATTTTTTTTAGTTTTTGTTAAAAAATAGTGCAGGTAGAATACCTGGGTATGTTAAGTTTAGCTCTGATTATTTTGCAGTATAATAATAGTCCCATATAGTGTTCCTTCAAAGCATTTTGATTTCTAAATAACTATAATTGATGATATAATAGTGTAATCTGACCAATTTTTTTTTCAAAACTCATATTAAACAAGTCAAAAAATCCATCCCTGAGGCTGAGCTGGGGCTGTAGCTCAGTGGTAGAGTACTTGCCTAGCATGTGTGAGGCACTGGGTTTGAATCTCAGAACCACATATAAATAAATTAAATAAAGGTACATTGACAACTAAAAATATGTATATTTTAAAAGCCTACCCCTGTAAGATTTATTAAGACTTATTCTGAATTCTCATGTATTAGGACAGCTTGTAGTTTTCATAGAAGCTTGAAGTTCAATGTCTCTAACTTATAGAATTGCTTTTTATTTAATACATGAAAGCATACATTGCATGAGGAACCAGACTCCCTTTCCTTAGTGTTACACACCTCCACATGCTTTCCAGGCTTACAAATAAAGGAAAACCCTTCCAGAAATCATTTATAATCTCATTCTCAGGGATCATTTCTTATATCCCCTTTGTCTTAGATGCATAATGCATGCAATCTTATGCAATTGAGAAAAATTGACATAGAAACAAAATGAAATGTAATTAAATAAAAATATAAAATTATTTCAGGCTATCAGGATATTTTTCAAATATTTCTACTTTCTAAAACTAAAGTTGTCATTCAATGAATTTGATCTCCAACTTCATTCAAAGTGGTTTAGAGCATGTAGAAAATACAATGAACTCTATTTTTTAGTTATATAAATCTGGACAGATTATTGTTAAATTTTAAAAATTTTCTATACTCAATTTTACACTATTTTCCACACATAGGTGGGAATTATGTTATGCTTTGCAATGCTATGCTATTGGTTTATAAAAACATATTGCTTAAGAACAAAATTATTAACATAATTCTTCCTAATGCTACATTTATCTGTCTATTATGATAGGCTTCACTTACATGGAGCAAATATGAAATTGTTGCCACATTTTCAGATATGTTCCAAGGCATATTTTAGCTTGTTCTTAGTGCCTACTACATGAAATGGTACACAGATTTCTTTTCTATTTCTTTATTTCTTTGCTTCTAAGAAAGATTCATATTGATTTGCCTCTTTCTGCACTTGCACTTTTTTTATTGTGTGTTTTAAGAACACTAGTGGTAACCTGTATGGCAAGTTAATTAATCAAGCTTTTTGCAGGTAAAATATAAGGTTGTATTTTCTGAAGTTTAATAGTTCCAAAAATATGATAATGGCACATATTGCATATCATCTCATGGTACACTCCAACCTCTTAAATGAGGAAATATCACTCTAAGTGTATTTCATACTCTAGAGGGGCCATTTCTTCTTAAAAGGAAGTTTGATGCACAAGTTTTTCTTCCAAAAAGATTTCACCAAAAAATATAGCATACTGAGATGGGCAAAATACAGCTTTTTGCTCTCTATATATACATCATTAATGTCAGCTGTTTAAAAATGGATGTCTCTGAGCCAGTTTCCTGCATGTTTTATGGCTGCAAAAGTGTTTAGTGTGGATATAAGTCAGAATATGATTTGTTCCTGACACCAGATGCTGCCTGTGACGTTATGTGAGGAAAGAATAATGAAGGAAAGCTGCTGCATAGATCCTGTTCATTAGGCTTTTCTTCTTAATCAGGCCACAGTTTGAGACATTCTGCCTAGGCAGTACCGCTTTCATACTGATCCAAGGAATGTCACACTTGGTGGACAGTAAGTATTCCACCTCAGTATCATTTGGACTCATGAGTGGTTTACAGCTTGCTAATTCAGCATTTGTTTTTATGTTAGAATATGTGCAAGTAATTTGATTCTTGAGATTAATTCAATACAAGGAGAACACTAAAGTTTTCTTGTCACTTGTCAACTTGCCTATTAACAAAACTGAAGAATTGATACATTGAAAAGCGAACACATTCAACTTCTTGAGTTTTAAGATTCCTATTGAAGTACCTGCTAAAAACTGAGACCAGGAGAATTCTTATCTGAAAGCCAGTGAAAAATGATGAAAGGGGAAGAAGATTTGAGCTCAACCACAAAGATTGGTGGGGATTAAGGATAGAAATAGTTTATTTGTAGAAATTTACATATAGCTAAGAAGTTATTTTTTTTTAACATAGTGCTGTCAAATTTGATGCTTTTGCTCAACACCTTACGCCTTACCTGCTTTACAAGGGAGGTGAATCCTGACTACCCTGCACACTGATCATTGCCCTAAGTTTCATTCTTTTTCTCTAGACACATCCAGGTATTCTAACCACCTTGAGGCTCACAATCGCCACTCAGTTATAGTTTGCAGTGCCAACTTTCATCGGGTTATCCTAAATAGCTTACCAAGTTCGCTTATTAAATATACTGTCCATACTTCCTCTATTTTTTATTTCTGCCATGGTTGCCTTTTAGATTTAGTATTGACATAAATCTATTCTCTTTCTTCTTAGACTTGTCAATTAACTATATTTAATAAGATACCACAGAAATTAAGTCAAAATTGATAGTATATAAAAATATAAGATTTAACGCCATAAAACTCTTAGAAAATATATAAATAAATCTTTATTACAGTACATTAGGCAATGATTATTAGATACAAAAACAAAATCACAAGTAAAAAAGAGAAAATGGATGAATTGGACTTTATGAAAATCAAAAGCTTTACTAATGCATCTATTAGGGAAGAAAATATTTGTATTCATATATCTTAGAAAATACATATAGAATACATAAATCACCCTTGTAATTTATTTTTTTTAAATGTGACCAATTTAAACAATTGGTTACACATCTGAAAGCCTATTTCTGGAAGGATATACAAATGGATGAAAAACACAAAAATATATGTGAAAATATTTAGCACAATTAGTCCTTAGAATAATGTAGATCAAAACTACAATGAAGTACAACTCTACAAACATGAAGATAACTACAGGGCAGATATTAAGTGTTCCAATGGTGTGGAGAAACTAAAAATTCCTCAAATGTTAAATATAGTGTTACCGTATAACCTGGCTATGTCTTCCCTACTTTTCCTCCCTGCCTATATGAATAGCTAAAAATACTGCATATTGAGCATAAAATATCATTAAATTGCCATTTATCTTTTACATTTGTTCTTTATTGTCAATGGGATTTCACTTTTCTAAAAATATAGAGGATCTGTAGAGAGAAAGCATTATTCATCATTGTACTCAGAGAAATAAACAAGAATTTTAGTGGATACTTTATGAATGACAGTAGTGGTGTAGACTATACCACTTTGAAGTGAGATCTGCACTCCCTGGTTCACAGAAGCATTATTCACAGGAACAAAGATATGGAATCAACCTAAGTATCCATCATGGTGCATGGATGAGGGTAATGTGGTATATGTACACAACAGTATTCTTTAGTCTTAAAATAGAAGGAAATCCTAAAATTTGTAACCATGTAAATGAAACCAGAAGACATTATATTAAGTAAAACAAGACAGGCACAGATAAAAAAAAAAACACTTGTATTAAAAAGGTAAAAAAATATGAATGCATAGAAATATAGAGTAAACAATAATTTTCCTTGTTTTGCTTTGTCTGATTTGCACCTTTGGTTTTAGTAGTTGGAACACGTGATACCTTTTAATCAAAATGACACACACTCTGTGTTAATGAGCTTTTCCTTGCTGTGACTAAAATACCTGACAAGAACAACTTAGAGGAGAAGAAGTTTATTTTGGGGCTCATTGTTTCAGAGTTCTCAGTTCATGCTCTACTGACTCCATTGCTCTGGATAGAACACCATGGCCAAAGGGTATGGTGGATGAAAGCCGCTCAGTTTGTGGTGGTCTGGAAGCAGAGAGAGGGAAAGGAAAAGTCATTCCTCCAGGACACACACTCAGGGACTGACCACCTGCAGCCATTCCCCACCTGTCTATAGTTACCACCCAGTAATATTGCTATATTTTCTTCATGAGCTTAAAAGCAAACTATAGTCTGTGCTTGGCTGAGTCATTACTCTCCCGATAATATTATTTAGGTATCATTGATCCACATGATTCTTCAAACATTTATTGCAAATAAAAAGCTAAAAAGTCAAACAATTTGTTAGTATTTTTTAAGACTGTCTTCAACAGGCTTATTTCCCCTTAGATGTTCTACAAAATATTGCACAATATCTCAAAAATAAAAAATAATTCTCTTGGTTTTCCATATGACCAGTTAGAAACTCTGCTATTTCTCCCAAGGTCAGAACAGGGCTCCCCCTGCCAGCAAAAATTCTCAATTGTGACACAGCAAAGTGAAATATTTCCACTCAACAGCTGGATGCTTCACTTTAGTTGGTCTCTGATTCATGCAACTCATAAAGAGGTAATGGGAGTCATAGAGAACTAAGTTCCAATTCCAATTCTTGCCTCATCACCTACATCACCTTGTACAAGTCACTTAAATTCTCTGCTCCTTCTTCTGCATAACAGCAATAATATCACCTACTTGGTTCTATGGAATCAATGCAGATAATTTAGGTAGATATCAATTTTTAACAAATTTCAGTTGAATTTCTTACTTGAATGTAACAGTGAGTTTAATAATCTTTCTGCATTTTTATATAGAACTTTTTTTTTCCTCTTTTACCTTTTCTCTTTCATATCTAAATTGTGGTCTTCAGCCAATTACTGGCAGAAAAGTAATCTTGTTTTTCTCTTTAAAAACTTTATATAATATGCAGGAATTAAATTGAAATCAACACAAAAGCAGCTGGTGGAATTAAGATATGCAGAAAGAGAGGAAAAAGTGAGTATATTGCTACCCCAAAACTCAAGTTGCTGTGTGTGACTAAACTAATTTCCTAATTTTAGCACTACTGGCATTTTGAGCCAAGTGATTTGTTTTTATGGGGTTCTACCTTGTTTGTTATAAAATATTTAACTTCCATCATGGATTTTATCCACTGGATGAAAGACAGGCCTTTCTCCATATGGCCATCAGATTATTACTGCCCCAGCAAATGGCTTGGATGAGTCTCTTGGCTACAGAGCAGTGAGGGGATTCCAGGCAGAGTGCACTGGTATTCATGAGTTGAAGAGACAGAGCTGAGATTGCAGGAAGAGCACAGCATGTAGGGTTCAAAGACCAGAATACTTGAGAAGGGACACATGCACATAGAAGGAGAACACACAGAAATTTAAGGGTAAGTCAAATCAGTGAGTTCAATAGATTGGAGTTCTGAGGAAATGTCTTAGAGCAACGAAAGAAAGGAAGGAAGGAAGGAAGGAAGGAAGGAAGGAAGGAAGGAAGGAAGGAAGGAAGGAAGGAAGGAAGGAAAGAAAGAAAGCAGAGTAGAATCTCTCTTATTTGAAAGTGAATCAAACATGTAGGCTGAAACCATCAAAGAGAAGTTCAGAAATTAAACAAGATGGAAAATGGCAAGAAAAGCAACACAAAGCAAGTAGCTGGAGCAGGGGATTTGGGACACAAACTGCAGACTAGGTACCATTATAATTAGATCGCATTTGAAGTTCAGAAAATTTTAGATGTTTTCTATTATACTAGAAGTAAATTTTAGAGTCTGGTATGGAAACAAATAAATAAGCCAATAGGACTGCAGGCATCTGAAGATTATTATAGACCCTCAGGCTTAGCCAACCACAGGTAAGTCATAAGTATTCACAGAATCAGTGGATGACCAGGATAGAGGGCACACATATATTGCACATCATGGAGTGATATACATTAAGGGGGTCAAGCCAGCTATTAGATCCTCACTCTTTAGCCTGCATAGAGCTCAATCATTCTGTGAATCTTTAGAATGTTTGCTTTCTTTTCTTAGTCCTAGCACTTTACTTTGCTGCCCTGTTTGGTTATGGAAGTGTTCTTGTCAATATGTCTTGTCTTTTCAACTGAATTCTGTGTCCTTTAAGGTCAAGAACTTCCCCCTTCTTTGCATTTCCCATGCTGCCTAGAAAAAATACTAAGTATTTAGAAGGTGCTCTACTGACATGTCTAGAATGAATAATGAATATCACTGCTCCCCAAGTGTGACCATCTGTTTCAGAGAATGACATGAGAGAACTGAGGTGCTTGGGAACACATGTGATGGCATTGTGGGTGTGGGGGGTCATTGTTATGGCACTAGAAATGACATTAAATTGGTCACCTGGGTCTAGTTTATTATGTAGATCTTAATGAATATAAAATGATATTAAATTAAACAATGAATTTAAATGAGGAGATTTAATGAGAAATTCCATCTGCATATTTCATCTGGGCTACTTCTACTATTTCCCAAACTCTGTTTTAGGATGCTCAGATGTGCTGAAAAGATAGATGAACAATAACATCCTGGACTTTCTCAATCAACTTAGCCATTTTGAGATGACAGATCAAAATCAATGATAGTCACTCATATACACCTGGATAAAATAAAGAGATGAGAAGCAAGAAGGGGTGTGTGCTTATATATTGTGTATGTAGATAGGTTATAGTTTATTATTTCACCTGTATTTAGGGACTAAATCTATTTTCTTAGTAATCCACCATGAAGAATAACACACATACACACATACACACGCGCGTGCGCACACACGCACACACATGTACACAAGACACACGTCTTTATACATATATATAAATGCATAAACAAACAAAAAAAAAACTTGTGCACCAGCCTGCTAAATATCACTTATCTTATATCTGTGAAGGACACATGTTGAAAATGGTCAGGAAAAGAACCAATGACTTGGACTAGAACTTCTAAGACCTTCATGAAAATAGAGAGTTAAAGTGATAGAAAGATCAAACAGAGTCACTCTCAGTAGATTTAAGTTTCAATTCTAGTTACTGGTCCCTGACAAACCTGGAAAAATTATAATCATAAAGTTGATACAGCAATTTGATTAAAAATATTTTCTTAGCAAAACTATTTCTAAGCATCAAGAAAATTTCATAACTTTACTTATAACTTTGCTCTTTTTTCCTTTGCTAAAAATATTACTTCTCATTACATATGCATTAAAAGTAATTTAAAATATATGAAGAATCTGTAGAATTTTGAAAACTTTTATGACATAATGTAGAAAATATTGAATTATCAAATGATACATATGCTGCTTTATAACGATCTGGAATTTTATAAAATTAAATGATTATACGAGGTTGGTGGAGTTACAGGTGATTTAAAATGTTAAATACAGTTAAGATATAGTTTATCTCTTTTAAAATATTACAAAGTAAGTATTAAAAAAAATAGAATCATCAAACTTTCCTAACCAAGACCATTTCAGCTTTAGTAAATCTTCCAAAGCTAACACATTAATTAAACAAAATGTCTATCACACTTCTTTAGAGTCATTGCTTTAACTTTTTATTTGCTTATATCAAAGGCAAAGGATTCATTTCAAATTGTGCCATGCTTCTTGATAAATACATTTACATGAGAACATTTAACTCATAACTCTTGCTTCTTTTTTTTTCACCAAAGGAAATAGCTGATAATAAAAAGTGTTCCATTTTTCATAGTACAAGCTCTATCAAGTTGAGCTTGTTGATGCATTTAAGTGCAATGACATTAATTATACTGGCAAAAGCTTCAAAAGTGCACTTTCTTTTATAGCAAAATGCCTTTTAAATGAAACATTTTCAAACCTGGCAAAGAAAGTGAGTGTGGGGTGTGGGTATAAGCCTCATTATTACTTATGAGTATTATAAATATTAAACCCTTTTATGTCATAAATTATAGATCCTTAAAAATGAATTATCAGCTTTGAACTAAATACTAAAATAATTTTACTTCATAGCAATATATCTCAAAGCAATGTGTGCATAATTATAACTTCTGCTATATTATTAGAGTTAAATTTTGATGTGAGAAATTTAAAATCTGTATATTTTGTCAACTGCATTTAAAATGTTCACAATTTCTAAGAAAAAATTGCATATTTGATTATAGTGATTGTGCTTTAGGGTAATAATTCCTTATCTTTGATAAATAAAGTCTTAGGAGAAAGTGAGTGGAAAGTCTGTCAGAAACTATAAACTTATGAAAAGACTAATAGATAAGAACATTACTTCAGAAGAATAAAGAAGTCTAAGACATTTATGCTCTTCCATTCAATCTCCTACTCTTCAACTCCGTGTAAGCTCAATTAAACCTTCTATCTGCTTTCAGAAACAGATAAACAAACAAACGAAACCTCACAAAAATTATGTTGGGAGAAAGAGCTAAAGATTGATACTTATCTACAGGAACTAATATACTACTTGTCATCACATTGCCAGGAATATTTCTTTTCTTCATTTCCCAACTTGGTTAAGAAATTAACATGCACTTAGAGTCACAAGCTTTCTCTGTGAAGGTAAAATGTAAAATTTTGATCTGAGCTTTGCAGAAAGATAAACCAAGATTGGTTTGGGAGCTTTAGCATTTCATGCCCAAGCAACATGTGAAAGGCCAATTAATTTAAACTCTCTCAAGTTCAGATAGAGGGTTTCTTCTCATAAAATAAAGGCAACAACATGTATTTCTTAAGATTGTTCACAGGATTAAGTAATGGTTTTTAAAACAGGTAATCAATCAAATTTATTTTAATTCTGTCTCTCCTTTATCCCTAGTATTTAAACAGCAAATAAATCACACAGGATTTACTTTAGGGAAATGCCTCTAATATCAGAAATCTTTTCCCATCAACTGTATTTCATCATCTTTCATCTTGTCCTCATTCTAACCATTGTCTCCAATATTGCTAGTATTCGATGTCCCTCAAAATCTCTGTGGTCATATCACATTTCACTGTAGTAAGAGTTTACTGCTAATTCTCTGTCTATATACTAAAGATAGACAATGTAGCAGTCAATTCAGACCTGGCTGGGTCTGGGATGCTTGCACGCCCCATGTCTGGGGTATTACTGTAGCCCCCACTATAGTCAAGTGTTCAATAAAACTCACACATTTATGACTTCATCTCCATAAATTCTTCCAACAAAAATATCAGTTCCCAGTGTCACATGCTTTATACACCAAATCAAAGGCATTTCTGTGGAGCATTTCCCATTTTTTATTCTATATTACATATTTCTAGATATATTATTATTATTAGATATGTTATTCTATATTATATATTTCTAGATAAATTTTATCATGGTATACCTTAAATTTATACAACTTTTCAACAAAATCATGAGTTATTTGAAATTCAAGAGTTGTCATTATACATAGAATATTAAAAAGTATATAGACATTTTTTGCTAGATAAATAAAAATAACTACTGATAATTAACACAGTAAAAAGTTTCCTGGTGATTTAAATTAATTATTGTAAGCCATATTATATTTTCAAATAATTTATATATATGAAGTATAAACATAATGTAAAATTCTGAAAGGTCATATATTATTGTAATTGGAGAAAATACCTATGAAGATCTATATGGTCATCTATTTTTCTGATTTTACTCTAGAACCAAGACTCAATGTCTTGATGCTTTCCAACTTACCATTCTTTTGGGAGATCTACTAGGAAGGATGCCTTTTATTGGAACAAATAGCACAAAAAGTGAAATACTTTAAATTTTCACATTCAGTAGAGCTTTTGGGTGAATTGATAAGGGTTTCTTGGCTTAATCCATAGAAGTGAATCTCAATGTATTCCAAAAGTTTTTTTTTTAATTGTGAAAAAAGTATTGGGATAAAGAAAAATATAAAAGTTGTTAAAAATAAGATCAAATACATTGATGATCACCATAATTGTGACCTGGTTAATAACTCTCTTAAAAGACAAAGAGAATACTATAGTATT